AATTCAATTAGATCCAAGCACAATTAAGTTTTACTAGTCACATAATCAGTGGAGTGCTTATTGCAGACGAACAAGTTTTAATTCATCATAACACTGAATCAATACTGAGATCAAATTTTTAAAAAATAAAACCTCTACAGATTTTAAAAGTTCTTCAGCAATTGACCTACAAAATGCACACTTAGCTCAGAAGCTGCGAGCTACAAATTGCAAAGAATTAGGTGATTTGTAAAGCAAACACAGTATTGGATAAACCCTACACCAAACAGACAATGAAATACTTTACATGTGATTCCTCTGGGATGGATGTAACTAAATGATAGGAGGAACACTAGGTCAGAATTCTAACTAACTGACCCAGCTGGTTTCCAAATATGTGCACACATACACAGTGCAAGTATTTCACTGACAGTCAGGGTGGGCCCATTTTGTCCAAGGCTGCTGTGAAACTAAGCATTTGTTAAAGTTCAGATCTGATGAGGGTTCAGTAACATGGTCCTTGAATTCTTAGCCTTTCGTTGGGAAAGCCATACCTAAAGATAAAGAAGGGAATTAGAATTAGTCTGAGGCCTATTCTTACATGTCGCGAAGAAAAACGTTTGGCAATTGTCATCTTAACTCTGAGTATCAGACATCTTTTCAAAACATTGTGCCATGATTTTCCAACTTCACCCAGAAAAAAGTGTTACTGAAAATCACTCACCCAGGATATTAATACCACAACAGGAACTTTAAAGGGAACCACAGACATTTCTGGAATAGGCGTGATGAAAGACTACCAAACTCACCGTATGTAAAGTTTGAGGTTTTCTTTTTGTGCTGAAATGCCCAGATGTTAAAGAAAATCATGCAAAACATAAGAGTGCTAGGGAATTCTCCTCTTTTGTAATTATCAGATACAATTTTGTGTCATTCAATAAGCAGACTGGAGCGAGTTATTTGGTACCGTAGTTCAGGAGACAGCCGATGTCAATGGATTTTGATATACATTCACTGTGTGCTTTTCTGCCAAGTAGTCTTTTCTGAGAAAACTGGACTGTAGAAACTGGGGGTCCCAGTGCATGAATTACAAAAATCTAGCATTCAAGTTCAGCAGATCATAGGAAAGCTAAGTGGAATGTTGGTCTTTCTTTCAAAGTGATACAGTATAAAATTAGGGAGGTCTTGTTAAAAGTCAGACCACAGCTGGAGTACTATAGACAATTTTGGGTCTCTTATCTAAGGAAAGATAATGGCATTGGTGGCAGTTCATTTAAGGTTCACTTGGTTGATTCTATGTCTGGAGACATATGCTTATGGTGAAAAGTTAAGTAGGACAGGCTTGTATTTATTGGAGTTTAGGAAAATGAAAGAAGACATTATTGAAACATATTAGATTCTTAGGAAATTTAACAGGGTTGATGCTGTGATGACACTAAGGCTTTAAAAGGTGCTTTTTTTTCCTGTTTTTTTAAATGAAGAAAGATTGACACAGAGCTAACGAATGGTCTGCTCAAAGCTAATAAGGTAAACAGCTTGGAGGCCTTGGGGTTTTTTCTTTTCGAAGTTGAAACAATAGAAGTAGTCTGAATAGTTGGGGTCCAGCTCCTACAGAACCAGGAATTTTAGTTTTAGTTTTAGCTTTCAGCAGTTTCTCGAGTCTTGAAGCTGGATATGAAAGCTCTTATTTCTCTTTCTGTTACAGCTAAAAGCTGCAGTTGTCTTCCTGCTGCATGAATTGCACGTGAGACAATTTATTTTACTGAATTTGCCTTTGCCAAGGATGTGTTAATGGAATGTTACTGTATTGGAACAGTTAATTAGAAGTAGTTAATATATATTATTGTGTTAAGCATTTCAATAAGAGTTACAGTAAAGCCAATTCTTTTATTTTTATTTTGTCTTTATTTTAGCTGTAGTGTAAAAATAAAGTGCGCTTTTCTTAAAGTTGAGTAGTTTGACCAATCGAATTGCACCTGGAACACAACACCTTACACTTACCTTTAAAATAAGAAAACATTAGGGTCCAGGCTATCATCTTAATATATTTTGAGAGAATTTGGCTGATCTATAACAATGCGGAGAGATTAGTTCTCCTTGTAGGAGAGTCTATGACCAGAGGACAAACTCTCAGATTAAGGAGTCACCCGTTTTAGATAGAGATGAGAATTTTTTTTCTCAAGGAGTAGTAAATCTACGGAATTCTTTAGCACAGAGTGCTGGGTCATTATGTAAATTCAAGGCTGAGACAGACAGGTTTCTAATCATTAAGAGTATCACGTGATCTGGGGATAAAGCAGGAAGGTGGAGTTGAGGATTATCAGATCAACCATGATCTCATTGAATGGGAGAGCAGGCAAGATGGGCCAAATGTTCCTATGTCTTATGGTCTGTACCAAACAAAATACATAAGGAGTTCAAACATTTAAGATAGTTTGTACAAATTTTATCTTTATCTTTGCTAGGCATAGATAATTGTTTCAGCGTACCAACATACCATCCAACCGTTATGATTTATTATCTATATCACACTGCCTCAGGCACACAGTTACAGACAGAAAGACTAAGCCAGAATTCTTCATTTCCCTTTTCGCAGCATATCTTACATCAGAATTAAAACATTTATAAAAGTCAAATAGTATTCATAAAAGGCTTTATTTTTTACAATGTTGTGTTTCTATATCAAAAAAGTTAAAAATGGTGATCTGACTTTTTGCCCAGAAGTTAATAAAGCAAAAAATTGAAGTTTTTCTATTTTCCATGACAGCCTCTTCTGAGTGTCTGAACTGCAAAATTACGTACCTTATTACAAGTGTCAACTCTAATTACAGAGGAGTAGAAACAGATTTTCAAACAGTCTTTTTTTCTCTGACACGTGCTACTGACTATTGTTCTTCTACCCAGCTTAATAAGAAACCACACATAATTACAGTATTTCAAAGTATTATTTATCTCCTAAAAGAAATCTGCAACAATGGAAATTGTGTTTATCTAAAACATTATTTACAGCTCATCTTACAAATCATATATTTGTGAACAAATCAATGATCAAAGCCGCAGTGTGGAACAATGAAGTTTATGGAAAAAAAGTTCCTCAACAGGAGTTATAACTTACTTTGCTATGAACTCTAGTCAGCACTATGCAATTCCTCAAACTTATCCTAATACAACTTTCTGTCTGAGATTCAGCTTGGTTGGTTTGGCCAAATGAATTTAAAAACATTTATTCTGTTCACTCCTGGATCTCCTTTATCAGATGCCCCATGCCACATACAATTCTAAAAGAAACATGATCGTCCTATCCTATATCTCCTCGACTGAACAGTATCTACGCTTGCCTTCTCATTTATCTCCGAACTCTCCATTATCTCTTTACTGCTAGGCTGTTTGGTTGGTCTGACATCCAGGACTGGAGAAGAAGAAACTCTTTCCAAATGAATGCTGAGAATTACAAAGTGACTGTCTTGTTTCCCCACTAGAAACTTTGTTACCATGTAAGTGACTCCATCCCTTTGCCTGACTACTGAACGAGACTGAATCTGACCGTTCTCAAACTTAGTGTCATATTTCATTTTGAGATGAGCTTCCAGTTAAATGTCAGGGAGATACTGGTGCTGTAATGTGACTAGACAAGTAATCCAGAAACCCTGACTAATGCTGTGGGAACATGGGCTTAAATCAGACTACAGTAGGTGATGGAATTTAAATTCATAAAGATCTGGAATTGAAAGCTATTTTTATTAATGGTGACCACAAAACTATAATTGATTGTTGTGAAATCTCATCTAGTTCATAAATAACGTGTAGGGAAGGAAATCTGTCATCCTTGTCTGGTCTGGCCTACGTGCAATTCTAAACTGAGAACAATGTGGCTAACTTTTAGCTGTCTTCTGAAATGATCTAGTAAGCCACTCAGTTCAAGGGCAATCAGGGATAGGCAATACATGCAAGCTATGCTGGTGACATTGACATCCCCTTAGAGAAGAAAAAAGCATCTGTATCACTAAGACTGCCCACTTCTACCTCTTTGATGTTGTCCAATTCTGCTAAATGATGAATGCAAAAGGTCACTTATGGGATAACAAGGTGCAGAGCTGGATGAACACAGCAGGCCAAGCTGCATCAGAGGAGCAGGAAAGCTGACGTTTCGGGCCTAGACCCTTCTT